AAAGACCGTACCAACCAATTCATGATGCCTTTAGCAGTGGTCACTGTCAGTAATCATTACTCCTTAAGGTGTTTAATTCTGGGAAATGGGTGGGAAATAGAGGATATTTACCTCTTTATTTCCAACAGTTACGTTGTTGTCTGGTTAGTTTTCACAAAGACTACGTATTTATATTAACCTTTAAATGTTCTGTAACTGAGTAAAGATCCAGTGTGGAAAGCTCAAAAGCTTTCCAGATGTTTCTTAGACATGAAATACGGACCACTGTACAGCTCTAGAATCTGTTTTGCAGTTAATTAAGTTGCATATTCCAGCACTCCTCAACTCACTAATGGGCTGTTTCCTAGCAGTTTCTTTTTAAAATTGATTTACGTAATTGCTTGGAACTGGAAACATTCTCCCCAGTGGCTGTTTGTTCTAGGGTGCAGCTTATGGGGTATGCACCGCGTGTGATGGAGTCTCAGATGAGCTCCCTAGCTCATGTCATTGAAGGAGACATTCACGGTGGATGAGACATGTCCGTGGGGAAGACACCAGGCCTTGTGCTGAACCGCCAGGAACGGGCTTCTGCAGAGGAGGAGGATGCCTTGGAGGCTGATTTGAGGCTTAATCTCCACTACCCGTTTTGTCCATTTAGGTTTTATTGGAAAAATATGCATATCTCTGTGAATCATAGCACGCCTAGAAACGCAAGTGGCCTGGAGAAGTGGGAGAAGGCAGAGGGCAGAATGGTTATCTGTAGGAGGAGGAATCTTAAAGCTTAGAAAGAATTGGTCTGGAGAAGGAGCAAGGTGCCCTCTGTGGCTCATCCTCTTTTCTCCAGGCTGTTATCTCCACAGCATCTGCCGAAGGGACGTGGGAACACGCCCAGAGTAGCTGGAGGAGCCGAGTACTGGAAAAGTTACTGGGTTGTGTCTGACTCTGGTTGTGGTCACTTTGATGGTGAAGACCACAACGATATGTGTCAGTTGTGCATCTCGTGTCGGTGGCAAGTAAATGTAAGCAGTTATATTGAATGAGGTTGTTGATTGGTGCCTGGCAAATCTTAGTTCTTAAAATTTTTGGCTTTTTTCCTATGCATTTCCCTACAAAATAAACTACAAACCATGATTATGGAATTTAAAGCCATTTATTCTTCATAAAGACCAATCATAAATATTTTCATGGCGCCTTCTAAGAGACTAATAAGGCTTTCCAACAATATGGGACAGCAAATCCTGTTTTGACGTCCCTTCTCTGCTCTGCCAGACAAAATACTAAAAGCAGATAACCAAAAAGACATAACTGGGGTCATAACTTTAAAAAAAAAAAATCTCTGTGGGTCAGAAAATAAAATCGACATACTATACAGTGAGCAAGGGCAGGCAGGACCAGGGGCCTGCCAGGTTTATGGACCTCTGCTCCTGAGGATGTCAGGAACTCCCAAGTGGTAGGAACAAGGCCAAAGCAAGGATTCGACCCTGTGTCGAGTCGCAAATTTCAGGAACCGATGCACAGAACCTGTTCTTTAACCGCAGTGCAGTTAAATTAGATCCCAATAAAATAGTTAGCTTCAAAAAACCGTGGTTTGCCTTCTTGGGTACTACTAGCACCTATCATTAAAGCTGTGATTAAAACTGTGGTTCGTGGTATAGCATTAATGAACAGAAGGGAAAATCCAGGACCACAGAATCTAGCCATTTAGTCTGTGATAAAGCTGTTTCTGGGGGAAGGATGTACTTCACATGCATGGTGTTGAGACTAATAGGCACAAAAAAATAAAATTTGATTAATTCACACCACATTCCAGGATAAATTCCAAATGGTCTGGATTGAATTGCCAAATAAGTATATAAAAAGGAAGCATATAGTTTTTGAATTAAAAAGTTGATGAATTCCTTTGCCATCTGGGCATGGGGAAAACATAGCTCAAATCTCAAAAAGATTGATAAATTTGCTTAAAAAAGAAACTTGTGGGGGGGAAAAAAAGGCAAACTAAAGAAACAGATGGAAAACGGGGCAATTATTTGTGGCTTATGTACTGCGATAGTTGTCTACCCCTAGCCTGTAAAGACAGTCTGTAGTATACGGAAAGACTAATAACCCCATTGGACAAGATAGGAAAACAATTGATGTTGAAAAAACACATGGCCCTTAAAATCAGGTAATTGATCAAACTTTGGTGATAAAAAATAGCAAAGTGAAATCACACAAGCCATTTCTCATCTTTCAGATTGGCAAAAGTCCAAAAGTTCGGCAAGGATTTGAGAGGAAAGCAAGATTCCCTTACACATTACTGGGACGGTGCAATGAAGTGCCCCGTGGTGTGAGAGGCAGGAAGGGAGGGGTTTGCTGAGAGCACTTGCTTCAGCCACTAACTTAACAGCTGTCCCCGCTAGGACTCTGCCCCGGGTAGCGGAAGGACAGAGTGAGGTGTGTATGAGCTGACTCTGACGTAGTGAACACCTGACGGGAAATTGGTTGAATGGAACCCTAATTAGCTATTTTTTAAAGGAAATGAGAGAAAACCTGGATATTGTGCTTTGGAGTGGTCCCGAGGGAATGTCTGTGGGTGAGAAAAGGGGACTGGAGTAAAGCAGTCTAGCATGGGTGCCACCACAGGTCCCAGAAGTCTGCATGTCTTCGCTTGGACTTTTAGAACGCCCGGAGCACTGGTGACTGCTGGGGGAGTTGGTGCTGGCAGGTGGCAGGTAGAGTGAGTCTCCAGAGTTGGCGAGCACAGTGTCACCGGTCACCTTCGATGGTGAGTTGGTGGCCGAGGCGGCCTGGAGAGCAGTTACTCAGCTGCCTTCACCGCAGCCACTGACGGTACAAATCCAGCCCTGACGACTCGGAACTTTCCGGTCGTCGTCCTGTTGAGCGGACGTTCAGCTCGTGCTGTTTGAAGGAACGGCGTACGTGCGGAGGGATAACACATCCTCACGTAGTAGAACCACACTTCTCAGCAGAAGAGAGAGAACACTTAGAAGATGGGGGACCCCAAGGAAAAACCCTGAGTGATACCCGTGGAAACTGTATGAGTGAAAGGCTGCACTGTTGACCTGACAGTCGTCCATGAGGCAGTGGGTGGGGATAGGGGAGAAGCAGAATTAATCGTGTATTGATCGGAAAGCTGCACAACAAGCATGGGAAGGTTTATCTGTTTTTCCTACTTCTCTGTATGTTTGAAATCATTTTGGAACTTTGAAACATGTTTGGAAGCTTAACAGTCTACTAAGTAGCTCATGAGTTAAACGGAAATTGAAGCAGAAACTACAGGTATTTGGAAAAGAACAGTTGTGAATTACAATTTCAAAAGGGAGGACACAGAAGAGCATCACTTAAAGGTAAATGTACTGATTTTCAATGCTTCAAGAAAAGATTTAAACCAAATAACTGGAAGTCAAGAAGTTGGAAACACAGAAAGCCTGGAGGGAAAAGGCAGGAGCAGGAGGTAGGACGCAGTGGTGGGCGCCCTCCGCGCACATCAGCGAGGGGCCTGGGAGGCTGGACTGAACGAAGGCGCAGACATGGTCGTATTGTCCTCAGTTCTGTCTCAGCGTGGGGCTGGCGTCATGGTGGAGTTGGCCAGTCTTTGGTGACGTGGGTGGCAGCATTTGTGAATTGTCATATCCCAGGTCATTCCATTGCTGCCTTAGTGAGAACTCAGCTCAGGTTTTTTAGCTCCATCTTCAGGCCGGACACTGCACGGGGCCCCGAGGACATGCACATAACTCGGGTCCTCGGCCCGTGCCCGTGGCAGTATCAAGAGGGTAGGGCTCTGGGAGAGGCTGAGCCTTGTGCTCCTGCGTCCCAGGCCTGTACCCGGGACCCCAGGAAGTCACAGGAGTGTGGTGCTGAGTGTGGTGGGACAGACAGGTGTGTCATTTTGCACTCTCCTCACGTCCTGGGCTCAGGATTGTGTTGGGAGGTTGTGGGACACTGCTATTCTTCCTTCAGCGTCTGTGAAGTTGTTAGGGCCTGAGGTTTTCTTGGTCGGTGTGTATTAAACATTAAGTAGAAGCAGGGACCCAAAATGTCACCTGGAACAGTTGGTATGTGTCTGAAAGGTGGTATGTCGTTCCGTTCTCCTGGAATAACGCTCTGTCTGCTCAGGAGGCTGCCATGGGCCATGGTTTGGTCCGGGTGGTGTCAGTGACAGAAACTCCCTGGTGGGAGAGTCCACGGTTCCTGATTGTCACATGGTCATGGGGGCCCAGCACAGGGCCCGTCCCCACCACCGGGGGCTAGTGTCCTGTGCCACAGACCTCCGCCCACTGTCCGGGTGCGCCTGGGCTCTGTCATTGATCAGCGTCATCTGCTCGCTTCAGGAGAGGTTCTGTGTGTGTTTCAGTCATTTAAAAATGTTTGATCGTTTTATTTATTTTTTAAGATTTTATTTTTAAGTCCTCCTCTCCACATGATGTGGGGCTGAACTCACAACCCTGGGCTCCAGTTGCACACTCGCCAACCGAGCCCGCGGCGTCCCAAGGATGGGTCATTACAGCGGGCTTTACTGCTCACAGTGCTTTGTGCCATTCGCTTTGGGAGTTGTATTTTTAATTAAATCTGTATATATTATAATTTTATAATAAGCAACATGTTCACATCATTCACATTTCGAAAGTCACCCAAAATGTGTCTGCAAGTCCGTCCTCTCGTCACAGGTTCCCCGCTGCAGAGCCGACAGAGGTAGTTGGTTCTGAGCCGTCCATCACGTTTTCGTACTCTTGTCCCACACTCGGCTCTTAACCTGCGGCGTCCACAGCCGCTGCGTGTCGTCGGAGATGCGCGCTCCCTCGTGTCTCGTGGCTCTTGTCTTGGGTCTTGTTTAAGGACAACAGGGGCAGCGGCAATAGCGACCAGTTAACACGACCCTTGTCCTAGGGATGGGTTTTCAGCTCATTTCCACTCCCTGCCAAAGAGGTGAAAAGGCTGTGTTGACTCTTCCTAGCTGCTTTTGGAAAACTCCTTTCCCTTGGCTACCAGTGTTTTAGGCCAGATGTTTTGTTTCCTTGCAGCCATGAACCAGAGGATCAGCCAGAGCGCCCCGGTGAAGCAGCCCCCGCCCCTGGCCCCGCAGAGCCCTCCAGGGGGCGTCCTGGGCGGCGGCGGCCCCGGCCCGCAGCAGATGCGGCTGCAGCAGCTGCAGATGGAGAAGGAGCGGCTGCGCCTGAAGCAGCAGGAGCTGCTCCGGCAGGTGAGGCCCGGGGGAGAGGCCACCTCCGCTCCCCAGGGGTGCTGTTCCGGACCCGGCGGGGCCGCGGGGGGCCCGTGCACAAGGTGCTTCCCAGATGAGCGTTGTTGAATCCCAGAGACCCCAAGCTTAGGGGATCCCATAGTGCCTTCCCGGCGCTCTCTCTGAGCGGTCCTGGGGGGGCGGACAGGGCCGGGGTCTGCTCCTGGGAAGGGCTGTTGCGCTCCGGGACAGCGACCGCCTGTGTCAGAGCCGGGGGCTCCCGGAGGGAAGGCTGAGTCCAGGGACCGGGGATGCAGCCTTACCAGAGCAGTGTATGTTGTCATTTTCCTAGAAGTTGTTCTGACAAGAAAACAGTGCGATTTTGAAAGGGACAGAAGGTGAAGGTGCGTGAAGACCGAACCTACCGCTCTGTGTCCCAAGTCCGCCCCTCGGAGCGGCCGGAATGGTCAGCTTCTCACTTTCGTTGTTCTCCGACATTGTTTCTGTCCACAGACGCAGAACACATGTATCTACTGTTTTTCCACTAAATTGTAGTCTCCCAAGTGTAGAAATTAAAACATCATGACACTCCACGTTTCTGTTCCCCGGAGGCAGGACCTTGGCTCAGGCCCGTTAGTGACGTGGGCTGCGTCCCAGGAGGGTCGCTGGACGTGCATAGATGTGGTGCCGTCCCCAGACTCTGACGTGGGATTGGAGAAACTGGGCCCTGGGGATGGGGACTTGGCCCTGGAGGTCCCAGACAGACCCACCTCTCAGCTGTCTGGGCTGTCCGTTGTCCATCCGTGTAAGGCCAGCGCGCTGGGCCCCGGCCCTGAGCCCTGGCTCTGAGCCCGGACGCCAGGGAGTGCTTGTTCAGGGTTCGAGGCCACAGAGTGGTTGTCACAGACGGATTTCTTTATCTGCCGGGAAGGTGTAGAAAGGAAGCACATTAACTCAATGTTCTGTACCTCTGGCTAACAAATGTCTGTAAAGGAAAGATATTTCTCATTTAAATAAAAACTCGATCATCAGAGCGAGGTGGCGCCATCGAGAACATGACGATGGAGCTGCCAGAGGAAACAAAGCGGCCTCCGGGCCTGTTTCCAACGCTGCCCCTGAGCACTGGATGGCCCACGCACACGCCGGTCCCCATTCCACATATGAGTTGAAGACTGTCAAAACCAGGAAATCTTATTAAGAGTGAAGATCTGTCAATGTCAGCGTTCATCATTTTGCTGTACGCCATTGATCAGCCTGGGATTTTGTTCGTTTTGTTGTTTGTAACGTTCTGTTCGGGTGGGCAGTGCTGCTGTTCGTGAAGCTCTTCCTTCTGGAGTCTTGTCCTCCCTCCTGCTGTGGGTGACGGGTCCGAGACAAGCAGCTTAACCCCCTTTCAAGGCAGCTTTGTTTCTTCCTTATCACCAGCTGTGTTGTCTCTCTCACTTCCAGGTGATAGACCTGCTCTATTTCATACTAATAGTCTGTTTATTAGGATTTTTTTGGTTTTGTTTTTTGGCAATCAGTATAAATTCAGCAAGTCTCGAGTCTTTGGCTTCCTGTGAATTTCTTCCCTTGTTAGTTGCTCTTACCACTGAACATTGAATGACACTTTTCCTGCTCCTTCTAATACTCAGAAGCAAAGAACCTTCCTGACCAATATCCAATTTTGTTTGAGTCCTGACGCCTGAAGCCTGCTGTCCTGTCCTCCGTGCTGTTCAGTGCCCCTGAGGTTTCAGTTTGTTATGTGGTGACCCCATCGGCTCCTGTCTTCCTCGGTCTGCTGCTTCTCGGGCTGGCTTGGGAGTTCTCTCTGTGGTGCTATGTCTGGATGAAATTTGTAAGTCAGCCTACATAGCCAAACCATGTGGCTTAAAGTAATTTTTATCCATCTTATTTTTTACTCTTAGGCAATGCGGAATATCAATCCCAGCACAGCAAATTCTCCAAAATGTCAGGTAGGCTCTTATCTGATGTTTTAGCATTAAAAAAAAAAAAAAAAAAAAGATATTAAATTAGGAAAGCAAGAAACTGGCGCTCCAGGGTCCTGTCCTTACTGAGCGTCAACCCAGGGGGTGTGACTGTGAGCCATCTCTTCCCAAATATGTATGTTACCACTGCCGTTCCCAGAAGGTCTGCACGGCCTGCTTCCCTCCTGCTCCTTCCAGAGAGCATCTCGCACTCAGTTTGATCATGGAAGTCTCGTTTTATTCCGTATTTGAAGTGTATTATGTCCCCGTTGTACATCCTGTCAGCCTTGAGCTGTGTGTGATTCTCATTTGCGTAGCTTACAGTAGTGTTTGTAATGATGGATAGGAGCTACGCACCTGACGGGACAGACCGGAACAGCTTATCTCCTTGGGCGGACTACTGTAAGACCTCGTAAGAGAGTCATAGTAGTGTTCTTAGGGGAAAAAACTCTTTCCAGGGCATCCCAAAGGAAGAATATCATGATTATCAGAAGAGGGAAGGGCCTGCTTGGGTCGCGTTTGGGGTTTCTTTGTTGACTTTATCAGCTTGTCTCCCTGATGAACCCCAAAGAGCACTGGTTGAAAAGGAATCTTATGTAGATGGAGAGATTGTGGCCATTTGTCCTAACTCAGGCGCTTCCGTGATTGAAGGGAAGACTCTCAGTCTTGCTCAGGGTTCACAGGATGTAAAGGACTGAAGACCTGGGGGGTCATTGCACTTTTCATGGGTGGGCAGATGCTACCACGTGCCCCTTGTGTGCTACGGGGCTGAAGGGCGTGCGTCCGAATGAGCTGTGGAAGCAGGAGTTGGCAGAGCTCCGCTCATTTTGGATGCTGTCATTGTGCCCGTCAGAGTCCGTGCTGATCAAGTCAGAGTCAGTCCCTGTAGAGACGGTTACCTTTGGGAGGGAAAACTCGCTTCCTTAGCCCATAAATGCCTTCTCGAAGCAAGACATCAGGTGAGGGGCTAACTCCCGGAAGTTGTCTTCCGTGGAGAGAGCACATCCTCGCTGTGAGGGCCGCCGTCATCACGGAGGCCTGGCCAGAGCCCAGAGTGTGGGTCTTTAAGAAGTGAGGATACATCCAGTGCTTTAGCTCTGAAGTGTTTCTAAAAGAAGCCTTCTCTTTGTGATAAGTGAGGTGGAAACTAAGATAGGAGCAGAAATTAAATGAGATTTGGGTTTAAGCAAAAAGTCCTCCATGCCAAAAGTGTTTTGAGTTGTTTCTTTGTTTTCCTACTGAGATCTTAAACCATAAATCTGATAAATGAGTAGCTTAAGGTCTTTCTTTCACACTTAAGTGCAAATGTAAATAGTAACCCTTATTAAAATGATCAGGCGTTCTTAGATTTTCTTTTTAATAGCTTCAGAAAAGGTGAGACTTATAGAAAGTCCGTTAAGTTTATATGGTGTTAAAATTGCGGAGTTGATTCCTTAGATTTATGTAAGCCAGAATAAGAAGCCTGAAAGAGGTTTTTTTTAAAAATCAACTTTGGATGTGTTAGAGAATGAAATACTAGTTTGTTATATAAGTTTTTGTCAGTGTGTTCACCTGGCAGGTGTGGGAGTGTCCGTGAACGTTACGAGGTTTGGTGCGGGGTTACATTTGGAGTGGCTCCGAAACAGAGAATGTGATGGGGTTTGTGTCAGTCAAGCCCGTGTGTGCTGACGTGTTTTCTGGGTAACCTTCAGGTAGTTGCCAGGAAACAGTTTCACAAAGAGGGGTCTTCTCTGAATTAAAGATGTGGCTTTGTAGAGGGTTGCCAGGAAAGCTGAGAAGAGCTTTCTTGTCTCAAGGAACAGAATGTATGAAGGAATAATGGAGAAAGGGGGACAGATCCAATATTTGAGTCCTAAATGCTGTTCAAAGTGCCATTTTACTTTTCTGATAGGAATTAGTGCACATGAGCTAAGCAACATGAAACCTGTGTCATCGCTCTGTAATTAGATCGTAATCATACACTTCAGATGCTGTGGCATGTGGGAAGGTACCATACTTCAAAATGTTTACAAAGGTAGTCATCTCAAAAGCTATCTTTTAATTTTTACCAAATAGGATTAACTACACAGATCTGTGTTCTGGTCACATAGACTGATGTCAGTATGGGACAGGTTAATGTGGAATTCTGAAGAATTAAGACCACTTTAAAGGCATTTTGTGTATCTTAGTTAAAGGTAGAAATTAACAGCTTACTTTGTTATGGTTTGTTTACAAATTTTGGAATAACTTGTCTTCAGAGAACTTAAAATTTTAAATTTCATTGTGATTATTCATTACTTTCATGCTTCAAAAGCTATTTTTGTTTTCAGAAGAAACTTTTTGGAACTATAAATGTCATCTTCACTCCCAGAGGTCGAGTCTTTACTGTTCAGTTTTCTAGCTATATCTCTTTCTAATACATCATTTACTCCTTTGTAAATTGGGAGACCTTTAGAGAGAGTTGGTTAGGAACGCGTCACAGTTTCTGTTTCAAAGTCTTGTGAAATGAAACACTTTGAGAAAGATAGCACCCCCCCAAGTGTGAATGTTTTTACCTTCTCTTGTGCCTGAGAATCTGGTTCCCCAGTACGGGTGAGATGATGAAGTGGGATTCCAGAGCGCCCCCCCCGCCCCCCCACCCCCACCCCTGGGTGTCTTCAGTAGCCTCCTCTCCCTCTCCGTCTTCCTCTGGCTGCGAGCACTCTTCTGTCCTCTTGCCCTGATTCTGGTCACGATCACGTCCCCTCCCTCTTGCTCACCAGGGTTCTCCAGTTTCTTTATAAGGCCTAGGTCAAAACCTGTCCTCATTGGCCTTCTTAGGATTCTTGAAACGACTCAGAGCATAGAAACAAGACTGCTTTGTCGAGCTGGAGTGAGTATGAGTTGCCATTCCCAACATCGCACACGTCATGATCGGCCTCTGGTTCAGTGAGGGGCACAGCCCATCGTGTGAACATGCAGGGACTGTAGCACACCGCTAGCCTGCGGAGGTGAGGACGGTTGGATGTCCACAGTTTCGGCCAAATGGAGCAAAATAATAGCACTGTTCAGGGCAGTGTGAGAACAGTGGCCGTCAATCTTGTTTTCCCTGAATTTAATAGCAGTAAAGAATTTGGCTTTTTGTTCATCCAAATTGTCTTTCCTGTTAGCAGACACCAGAAAAGCTATTTCAGAGTCCAGTTAACTTTTCCCAAGATTCTCTCTCCTCTTTTTGAAGTCCTAATACTAAATAAACTGTAAATTCATTTAGGTGTTTTCTCATGAATAAAGAATTTCATGTTTTCTTTTTAATAGGAAAGTTGGAAACTCTCTAAGCCTCATACCCGCATAGGTTATCTCATTTGTTTTATTCATGGAGAGGTCTATAATTTGAAGAATGTTAAAAAAAAATGTATTCGTTTGACATTATAATTAACAAAAATTATAGAAGACCTAATTTTAGAGATCTTTCAGAAAGAGTGTTGAATCCCAGGATAGTGCTGGAAACACGAAACTTAAAGTCTGCTTTCAGAGATCACCTTTCAGAGTTCAGTGTCATAACAGTCCCTAGATCCACGTGTGCACGTTTTTTAAGTAAAAAATGTTCTGAAGTTGAAGATAATTTGGTTAAATGGCACACACATTAAAAAAAAAAAAAAAAAGAAGCATTCTAAACACTGGCCAAATGTTTTAAAATCCCTGCCAACCTAATGAAATGCTCTGTGCTGGGAAGTAGGGCACGGCAAGGCCTGTCTGGAACCGCTAGAAGAAATACCTTTCTTCCTCCTCTGTTTTTAAAATTGTGGACATACACTGCTGTCACTGAGACAGACTGTTACAACGTGTATTTTTAGTTACTCTCCATTTCTAAATTTGGATTTGTAGTTCACTAAACTAACCTTCCTTAAGCAAATCGATGACCCAGAGGAAAACAAATGAACCTTCAGTCGTGTGTCGCGTGTTCCCTAAAACGGACGCCCCATTCCATAGCTTCCTGTGCGCTAAAGACAGAGTTGCCTCAAGAAAGGGATTAAGGTTGACGTCGTGTGTTCATAGAACCTTCTATAAGTAGAGTCATAACTGTTCACCTGCCACAATTACTTTGAGATTCATTCATGTGCGTTCGTTCTCTTTATTGTTAACTGGTGTTCTGTGGTGGGGCTAGCTTGCGATACTTATCTTTTCACTCATTAATCGACTTTGGACTTGTTCCAAGTTTTGACTTTGGCGGGGGCGTGGGGGTACATGCTTTGATTTCCCTTGGATACTCTGAGAATTCAGTAACCCAGGAATATTCTAAATGTTGCCAGACTATGGACTACTTCTGCCTTTCTCCTTATTTTTCTAAATGATGTGAATCAAAGTGCTGATTTCCTAGGGTCCAAAATACTTTAACTATCAGATCCATATTAAGGTATCTTTTTACCCTGTGGGAAATGATACTGCTCTTTAAGGAGGGAAATATGGAAAGGAACAGTGGCTCATGGCTAGATCCCGAGTCCATGAAAGTCCACTGTATAAAGCAGGCAAACTTGTGTTTTCCCTTACAAACCATCCTGGAAAGTTTCCTTCAGACCAAGCTGGGACCATCCGTTTTACTTACAGTGCAGAGAGCTGTGACTCCAAATGTGTCCCAGATTAGCCAAGATTTACAAGCTCAGTGGGAAAGGCTGCCACATGTTTGTATTATTACGGAAGAGTATGAGCCAAAAATACTTGCTTCATTTAGAAAAAGTCAAATACTCCAAAAGAACTTTTTGACCTTTGAAATACAGAAGCATGATTAAATTTTGGCCAAATTTCCTATAACTTGCCTCTCAGTTTTTGAAAGTCTGTCAAACTATTTATTCTAACTACCTTTGGGAAAAAGAGAAGCTTAACAAACTTGTATTTTTAGCTTAGTATTCTAATTTTAGGCATTTGTTCAGAGTAAAAAAACTCCTTAGAGATAGACATAACTTTCAACATGAGCTGTTTCTACTGAAATCCGTTTTTAGAGACGATCCAGTTACGTCCCCAAGCTTATTTTT